CCCGGGAGCGGCCCCCTCGCAGGGCTGGGCCCCCACAGCTGTTCTCAGAGACTCAGAGTCGGGGTTGTTCTGGAAACACTTTTATAGGAAACCTTTTCGTCTCATTCCGCTCGGATGTCGTTATTCTTGCTGGGAAATGCTGGTTAACCACCGCGACAGTCAGCGGATGGAAAACCCCTCTCGAAGCCTCGTCCTTACCGAGACGAGTGGTGGTGACACAACAGGGCTCCCGGTAAACACGTGGCCACCTCGCTGACAGGCTACTGCTCAGAGGAACCTATCAGGGAATGAGCATTTAGGCCAAAGACAGTGGGACGACAGCACACGTGTGGGGAGGGCTCGTGAGAAGGGGGGGGCGCCCTGCAGCCTCAGCGGACTTTGCACCAAGTGTGAGTGTGTGTGCAAGTGCGTGTGTGAGAGAGTATGAGTGTGTGCATATATGTGAGTGTGTGTGAATGAGTGTGAGAGTTTGAGTGAATGTGAGTGTGAGTGAGTGCGTGAGTGTGTGTGAGTGTGTGAATGAGTGTGTGAGTGTGGTAGTGAATGTGAGTGTGTGAGTGAGTGTGTGAGTGTGGTAGTGAATGTGAGTGGTAGTGAGTGTGAGTGTGGTAGTGAGTGTGTGTGAGTGTGTGGGGTGCAGGCTGGGCAGAGGCCCAGGTGAGGCTGGCCGGGCCTGTCGGCCGTGAGGGGAAGACTGGCTCCTGCCGTGGACAGTGGTGACCTGTGTGCCTGGAGCGGGCGTGTGAGTGTGGTAGTGAGTGTGTGTGAGTGTGTGTGGGGTGCAGGCTGGGCAGAGGCCCGGATGAGGCTGGCCGGGCCTGTCGGCCGTGACGGGAAGACTGGCTCCCGCCGTGGACAGTGGTGACCTGTGTGCCTGGAGCGGGCGACACGACCAGATTTCCTTTGTTTGAAGAAAAACAAAGTAAAACGAAAGTTGAGTAAAAATCCCCCAAACGAAATGCCAGAGTCCATAGCAGATCTGGGGGCATTCGGTCCTGATCCCCATCCCCTGAGCCCGGAGAGGCGGGGCCGGCAGACACCCCCTCAGCCCCTGCCGGCCAGGTCAGCAGCTCTGGAGGGGGACCTGGTGGAGGGGGCATGGCTAGAGCGAGTGGG